TGCTTTCTTGTTTTAAGGAATAAAAGCTTAATTAAATGGCACGGATAAATGACTCTAGACAGTTGCTGCTCACTCTTGGACTGACTATTACCTCTTGCCCAACTCCTTGTTTTGTGCAAGCTCTGTGACATTCTTTGCTAATTGTCTGGAGAAGCTGTACTGCAAACACATACCATTAAAGGCAAGGTTTTGCAATGCAGATTGTTTACTTCGACACTTGTTCATGATGGATTGAGACTAAGGATGGCAGGTGGCCAGCTTCTCCTCCTTCATGTCACCTGCTTCTGAGAGATCATTCAGGTTCTATGAAAAACAAGCAAAAAGAAACACTTAAGTACATGCCTGAACTTGCACTTCTTCATGGCAGAAATCTCCACCATCCACACATGGAACAAAGAAAGCCAACTTATTCTGACCCCCGACAATACAGCCATGAGATAGCTGGTAGACATGCTCTTCTCACGAAGAACCAACATTATTTGAGACTACGCATTTTAATGAACTGTCTTATCTTCAGATGCCACCCATAATCCAAGAGGAGGCAACCTACTGGCAGCACATCTGGACTTTTCAGAGCATGTGGTGGTTGACCTCCCAATATGGCTAGTACCCATCACCAGAAGGGGAGCCACTGGGACCTTTTGCAGAGCTCAGGAAAAAAAAATCCTGCAACTATATATAATACCAGATTATGCTAGTTTTTGGTTTAATGTGCATTATTAAACAAAACTTTACTTTGTATTATTAGATGAATGAAGTCGGCAGCAAACCCTATAGGCCCCTAGGGAGGAGTCTGGGGGCCCTTTGCTGCCTCCAGGTACCACAATGCCTGCCTCTTTCTGGATCATCAGGAAGCCTTGCTCTTCTAACTTCAGAATAGCTGAGTGAAAAGTTGTACATGGGGAGAGATATTAATAATTACTTCTCAATTTGTACGGAAATGCACATGGTCATTGGGTTCAGTTTCTGATGGTAAGTAAGGCAGGTGGCTGAGGTTAAATGCTGACATTGCAGCAGCACCATCAATGCAATAGTCTCTACTACAAGTAGGTAAAATGTTGAAATGTTCTAACCCCAGAAAGTTCCATTCTGGTTGGAACAGATGTTTTGGAGTTGGAATGTTTGGTACACTTTTAGAATGCATTTTGTCCCCTTGAGTGGCCCTGAATAAAGCAAGGTAGGTCTTACACCCAGTCTGTGTTCTCAGACTGATTATAATTCCCTCTTCTCTTTTTCCCAGTTTTTCCTGATCTCTCAGGGGACTTGGGTAACCTGATGGTTGTAAGCCAGCAGTTTTCAACTGACAGGCTGAGATAAGAATAGCTAGATGCAAAGGGGTGTGTGTGTGTGTGTGTGTGGGTCCATTATCTAGGAATTTTTGGAGACAGAGTTGGGTAAATGTGAAAGGCAATGCCTTGGATCAACACAGTATTCATTCCAGGAAGAGCTGGCTATTAGGCTTCTGATGTGAAGCATAAATGAGAACTACAGGTTGCTGCAGCACAATGATTCTCTTGTCAATGAACTAAATCATTCCTTTAAACTTATATATTTTACTCCTTCATTAGCACCAAAGGTCACCAGTGAATAGGCTAATTTCCTTCCATTTGTCTTTCTTCCTCCCTGAAGAAAATAAGTGTGTGCCAAGGCTAAAGGACCACCCATCCGCCTCCTCTTCTCAAGCAAGAGAGAGAAAATGAAGGGGTTGGAAGCACTGATACCTTCACAAATGTTAGGAGCATTTTTGCAATTAATTATTAGAAGTATTTGTCTCTTAAAATATGGTAATTGCAAAGCATTTTTAGCTTTATACCTGCTCTTTAAGATCTACATGAAAGATCTACCTGCTATGCTCAATCAGTTCAGAGTATCATCAATATGTTGATGATGCTGAGTTATACATCTCCACCATGAGGTTGGTGGGAAATATGATGAAAGTCTTGCCCCAAGTTTGATGGCTTGAGGACAAGATGGAATGAAGCCAAAATAGAACCCTTGCAAGGGAGCAAAATATCTGGCTGTCAGACAGCTTCTGTTCTGAATATGGACTGGATGGCACTTCAGTCCCCTCCTTGAAAGAACAGATCCATGACTTGGAGTTTCTTCTGGACTCACAGCTATTGCTTGATTTGGAAGGGGACCATGGCCAGGAGAGTCTTTGCCCAGCTTCATCTGGTGTTCCAGTTGCAGCCCTATCTGAATTGGGAGGCATTTGTAGCAGTAACTCAAGACTTTATCACATTGCATCTAGACTACTCAGTGTGCTTTATATGGGGCTCCACTTGAAGACTACTTAGACAGTACAATTGATATAAAATGTAGCAGCTTGGTTGCTGGCAGAAAAAAGCTTTCACAGTCATTTTGCTATTACCTCCCAAACATCAGTTTTCCCAGTGCTGCACTGGTTTCCAATCAATTTCTGAGCGCAATTCAAGGTGCTGCCTTTGCCCTATAAAGCCTTTTATAGCTTAACTTGCAGGTATCTCTAGGACTGTCTCTTTTAAGTAGAACCATCCCATCCGGTATGGTCCTCTTGGAAAGGAATGCTGGAGGCTAAGAGTTGGAAGAGGCTGGAGACCACGTTTCTCCACTGCAGTCCATTTGGAATGGCCTTCCTCCAAGGTCTGCTTGGTGCCCACTTTGATGTCCTTCAGGAAGGCCATAAGAAATGCCATTGTCCTGTAGAGCATTTGATATGTGATTATCACCATCAGGATTTAACTTTTATTTAACTGTTTAACTTTTTTTTTACCTATTTGTTGGTTGTCTTGTTTTTATGTGTGAACTGCAAGGAGTCATATTTGAAATAGGGTGGTAGAGACAGTTGTAAATAAATAAACAAACAAATCTCACTGCTCTGCTGCTCATGAGAGTCCATTGCACCCCTTCTTCCTGGTGTTCTCCCTAGAGGGGACTGACCCTGCTACACGGTATGTCGTTTGTAAGAAGCCCCAAAGCAGCAGAAAAGACATCAGAAAGCAGTGCCACCATATTGTATGGCAAGCTCACGCCTTTGGAGTGGCACACAATGTAGCAACCTGTGCAAAAAGGGGTGGGTTTGCATAATAACATGTCATGCTGTGGACTCCACTGACTACTTTGATTCACATTCTGCTGTGATGGGGTGATTCAACTCAAACTTTGATAAACTGAGTCTCCCATCTGAAGATTCTACATGGTCCTAAGAATCAGGGTTCCAAGAGGAGCACATAAGTGAGTTTAAGTTCTACTGTTTACCATTCTAGGTGACTTTAATTATTCTGAGAACCCCAAGGACTCCACAGTTCAGCTCTGAGCTACACATATTCACCTCTATTGGTAGTTCATCTTTTGCACCTGGCTCAGCTTAGGGGCTCTTAAGGTTCTAAAATAAAATAAATAAAATAAAGACTATCTATCTTAAAGTCTGTCCTCCTTGGTATACCAGCTTGTAGCCTAAGTATCTGAATGTCAGAAGAATTTTTTGAAAATTTTTTTTCCGGTAATTTAGGTATTTTCCCCTTACACTTTATTTCTTCATCTTTGCTAGATACTTGTAGCAATCCCAGATGTTTAAGATTAGCTTTTTCATTGTCAGCCCAAAAGAAGCAATAAGGGCAGAAAAAGTCTAATCATGCCAATCCATTATACAGAAGGACATCAAGTGGGATTTCAATTGCAAACCTAAATTCATTCCATTGACTCAATGCTGCCCATCATTTGGATAGAATAGAACTGGCTCCTAAGTGAACGTGCACTTTTTCGTTCCTAGAAAGTATGCATAGGATGACAGCTGCACACTGTAAGTCTGCTTAATTATATTCAGTGGTTTTATTGTGACTGCTAGAGTTTACTTCATAGTAAATGTACTTTGGAGTAGAGTGGCTAAAAGCAGAGCAACTGGAAGCTTCTTTTGGAGCTGAAGATTTGACTTCTGATTAAAATTTTACAGGACTGAAAGATCTATCTATCGTCTGTGATCTCTTGCTCAATAAGGAATTAATCAGGAAGAGTCAAGTCCATGATGATAGAATTTTCCAGTTTTTTTAAAGAAATAATTTTATTAATTCTGGACAATGTTTTAATTACACTAGCTTAACAGAGCCTGGAATAATCAAATCAAAGCTACTAGGAATAACTGATATAACTTTCCTTTAAATTCAGCCATATAAACCAACATTGAATGTCAGCCTCCCAATCCTGAAAGTTTCCTAAAGTTAGTTTTCAAAGTCTGTAGGTAAAATTCCTTAATAAGCCAATTTGAAGCTTGTTCAGAACAGATACCAAGGGTATTGAGCAACCATACTTCAGTATTATGAATTTAGGACTTTCTCAGGTTGAAGTTTCTGACTTAAATTCTTGTCTATACAGCAGCCGAGGGGGGTCAACTATCTCATAATTTATGTGTAAACAAGTTGATTGATATTTAAGGCATAATGCAAGCCAAGCATCCACAGAAAAGAAAATGCAGCTGAACTGAGAGTAAAATAATCATGTGCATCTTCAAATATCTTCCCCATAGCCCTTCCTTGTGTGGGTAGAGAGACATGTTTCCATCAGTCACTGGGTATGGATAAGATTTATTATAATGAGATATCTGGAGCCAAGACAGAGAACTGTCTCTCCCATAGTTTTTATTGTACACTGCTATAGTATTGGCTATGTCTAGACCACAATCTGAATTTTGCAGACAGATTTGTTCATTGCCACTTCATTTAATAATCATATTTCACCTAGCACATCAGTCCACAGAATGTAGTGGCATTTCTTTTCAAAGTTCGTTCTTCCTTGTGTAAAATCACAGACTTGGACTACTAATCTAATTTTGTACATTTGTTGCCCAAAGAGATCCTTGTTCCAGCTTGATTTATTTCTAGCTATTAATAATATCCTAATCAATTATTCTATCTAGAATAATAATGTTCTAACTTCAGTTCTAAAGCACTTAGTTTAAAAATCCAATTTTCCCCTTGGGTCCCCCTTCCCCAACCCAGTTTATTTATTCTCTTCAACATTCTTAATCACTTAGTTTTCCGCACATTTTGAATCTCTTGCCGGAGGTCAGACATCAAGGTAAGGCTAAGCAGATGGACCATGAAATCCTCAAAATCAATTTGGTCATTCTTGTTCTCATCAAGAGCAGAAATTATTTCCTGGTACTTTGGTTTGGTTTCTTGACCCTGTGAAGGAAAATGAATAGTTTTATAGCAAAATATGGACATGGCTTTCATTATTCTTGCTAATGAGAGGAATCTACCCACAAAATATTTTTTTTAGGAAGACTACAGAATCAAGAGGGGAGTGGCCATATTTTCTCATAGCTCACTAATTCAAGATAAGAGTAAACTTATGTATCCTCAGAAAATCCCTTTGCGTGTCCATAATTAAACCCAAAAGCCTCTAATTACACATTATTTCATCAAAGCTCCCAACCTTGGGAGTATCCCAAAGAATATTAATATTGTCAGGGAAAAAACCACGTTAAACACGGGAGGCAGAGACACCATAAAACCAGTCACTTCAAAGTTCTAAAAGCTTTATTAAATGTTAGCTCAATAAGCAAGTAAAATTCAACCAATAGCATACGAGGTACTCACTTAGAATCACATTGCAATGCCCACCATCACGAGCAAGCGGTCAGGTAAGACAGCTTAGCCGTGTGGC